GCTCTGTGTGCGTGTGTGTGCTTGTGTGTGTGTGTCTTTATGCACAAAACTCTGTGAGATTTCCAGAACCTTCCCGTGTTAGTGGACATGAAGTTAACAACTGAAGAAATCTGGAGATACTGTTTCACAGCACACGTTTGCCTCTTTCAGAGTTGCAACCTGCATAGACATGGGAGAGCTAAGGAAATGAGAAACACATCTGGTGTGGGATTATAAAAAGCTTGTATCCTCTTCCAAGCAAGATTCAAACAGGCACATTCTCTTTAAAAGAACAAATAATAATGGGTCATACAATGTGCATCGTGATGTTGAGGGACTTGGTGTTGAGGCTTTTTGAAATAGCAGAGAGAACTGGTCACACAGTGCCTGCTTTCTTGCGTAATTCTCTGTTGTTTCTGAAATATGGAAATCTGTTGCCAGTTGGATTCCGCGTGCACAGGTCTTGCACTCTTTGTGCAGGGAAAAGGGGTTAATTTTATAAGGAAGAGAGGACTTGCTTTCGTTTTGCCTCAGCATGTTGCTTGCTAGTGCTGCTTCTCCAGGTGAAAGGATGAGCTTGGGGAGGCAGTCTCTTGAGACCATGTTTAAAGCACAGTGGACTAACAAAACGTTGTTCCTCATCTTGATGTACTTTATAAATGTTGATCCTAAGTTATTAATTATTAAGTTGTTGTTGTTATTATTATTGATCTTAAACAGGACATGAAGATTGCATTAACAAGGGCAGCCTGTGAGCCCTGGTAAAAGGGATTCTCATGCTGAGCCAGTGCATTGGTTTGCAAAGCAAAATTTGAGTGAGGAAATGCAAACTTTGCATTTTGCAGCCTTTTGCTAGCACGGCATTTGCCCTTCAGATAGGCATCCCTGTTTCATTTGACCTTATCTCCCTTGTTCCAGATTAGTGGTGATATGAACTGTAGGCTGATGCATAGCTCTCTCACTTTACAGGGCAGGTTTTTCTCAGGTGTGATAAATCAATATTCCAAATAGACCTTTCTCTTTCATCTTCAAGGCAACTGATCTAGTAAACAGCTAGATTTCCGTCCCCACCTGCCCTCTGCTATGCTGTTCCTCTTCAGCTCTGTCCCTTTCTGAATAAGAATTAGTTTTTCAACAATTAATTTACCTCACTGCCTCTGTAGGACCCTAACTAAATATCAAAGCCTCTCTCAGACTAGCAACACAACCATGCCCTTCCATCCTAATTGTTGGCTCTGTTCGAGACCACAGCAGGTCCAGGTGAGAGACGGGGAGCTTGAGGGTAATGAAGAGCTGAAACCCAGTTCAATCTAATTTTTAAATGAATGCCAGGAATCCCACACCTATAAGTTTATCATTTATTGCCTGTAATTTTCTCAACTAATTCCAAATTTAATGATAGCTTTCAGCTTTGGTTTTCTCTTCTAATTAACATACCAGTGACTATGTATAATCTCTGCATAAGGTCAAAAGCAGCTTACATGAGAATTACAGTGGGAGCACAGCACCTACTGGTCAAGATAGTAATCCACGAGAAAGTGCTTGCATGATAGTTAAGGTGCTGAGATTAGGTTGTACATCTTTGTTGTACTGTCCTGAAGCTATTCTATTAGACGCTTAGCTTGATGGTGGTAAACTTTCGGGAAGGAGATAAAAGAACTGGGGAGACCAAGCACAACCCTTTGCACATACAGCAGAGATTTCTTGGATGTGATGAACTTTTGAGGAAATAGTTTTTTGTGGAGTCGTATTGTTGAGTAACTTCACATTTACCTCATAATAATTATGATGTAGTGGGTTGAAAATTCCTCTTTTACACTGCGGAAGATACTTTGCATCCACTTTTTTTTTTTTTCCAGGAGCAATTGAAAACAATTCTGACTGAACAAAGCAGAAGGAAAATCCAGGTGTATGGTAGCAGCACAGGATCATAGAATCATAGAGTGCTTGGGGGTGGAAGCTTTAGCGCTCATCTAGTCCAACCCACCCTACAGTTAGCAGTGACATCTTCAACTCCATCGGGTTGCTCAGAGCCCCGTCCAACCTGGCCTTGAATGTTTCCAGGGATGGGGCCTCCGCCACCTCTCTGGGCAACCCGTTCCAGTGTTTCACCACCCTCATTGTAAAGAATTTCTTCCTTAGATCCAGTCTAAACCTACCCTGTTTTAGTTTAAAACCATCCCCCCTTGTCCTGTCACAGCTGGCCCTACTAAAAAGATTGTCCCCACCTTTCCTATGGGTCCCCTTTAAGCCCTGAACGGCCGCACTCAGCTCTGCCCGCAGCCTTCTCTTCTCCAGGCTGAACAACCCCAACTCTCCTAGCCTGGCCTCATAAGAGAGGGGCTCCAGCCCTTGGATCATTTTACTAGCCCTCCTCTGGCCCCGCTCCATGTCCTCCTTGTGCTGAGGGCTCCAGAGCTGGCCGCAGGGCTCCAGGTGAGGTCTCCCCAGAGCAGAGTAGAGGGGCAGAATCACCTCCCTCGAACTCCTGGCCACGCTTCTCTTGATGCAGCCCGGGGTACAGTTGGCTTTCTGGGCTACCAGCACACATTGCTGGCTCATGTCCAGCTTTTCGTCCACCAGTACCCCCAAGTCCTTCTTGGCAGGGCTGCTCTCCATCCTTTCTTCCCCCAGCCTGTATTGATACCAAGAGTTGCCCCGACCCAGGTGCAGGACCTTGTACTTGGCCTTGTTGAACTTCATGAGGTTCACACAGGCCCACCTCTCCAGCTTGTCCAGGTCTCTTTGGATGACATCCAGTCCTTATGGCTTATCAACTGCACCACTCAGGTTGGTGTCATCTGCAAACTTGCCGAGAGTGCACTCTTGTTGTCTATGTCATTGATGAATATATTAAACAGCACTGGTCCCAGTACGATCCCCTGAGGGACACCACTTGTCACCCGTCTCCATCCGGACATCGAGCTGTTGACCACTACCCTCTGGATGTGACCATCCAACCAGTTCCTTATCCACCGAACAGTCCACCCATCAAATCCATAGCTCTCTAATTTAGACAGAAGGATGTTGTGGGGGACCATGTCAAAGGCTTTGCAGAAGTCCAGATAGATGACATCTGTTGCTTTTCCCTTGTCCACTGATGTAGTCACTACATCATTGGAAAGCCACCAGGTTGGTCAGGCAGGATTTGCCCTTGGTGAAGCCATGCTGGCTATCTCGAATTACCTCCCTGGCCTCCATGTGCTTTAGCATAGCTTCTAGCAGGATCTGTTCCATGATCTTCCCAGGCACAGAGGGGAGGCTGACAGGTCGGTAGTTCCCAGCATCCTCCTTTCAACCCTTTTTAAATATGGGCACAATGTTTCCCTTTTTCCAGTCCCCAGGGACTTCACCTGACTGCCATGACTTTTCAAATACCATGGAGAGTGGTTTGGCAACTAATCAGCCAATTCTCTCAGGACTCTGGGATGCATCTCATCAGGTCCCGTAGTCTTACGTATGTTCAAGTTCCTCAGGTGGTAACGAACCTGATCTTCCCTTACAATGGGAGGAGCTTTACCCCCCTGCTCCCCATCTTGTGGTCCACCACTTGGGAGGGGTGAGGAGAGATGTTATCAGTGAAGCCTGAGGCAAAAAAGTTATCGAGTATCTCAGTCTGCTCCTCGTCTGTCGATACTAGGTCACCATTCATGTTAATCAGGGGGTACACTTTCTTTAACCTTCCTTTTCTGGCTGACATACCTGTAGAAACCCTTCTTGTTATTCTTTGCATCCCTTGCCAAATTCAGCTCCAGCCACACCTTGGGTCTCCAGACCCCATCCCTACACAACCAGGCAGCATCCCTATACTCTTCCCAGGATGCCTGTCCCTGCTTCCACTGCCTGTGCAGTTCCCTCTTCCTCCTTAGTTTGACCAGCGTCTCTCGTCTCAGCCATGCCGGTCTCTTCCCTTCTTTGCCTGATTTGTTACAGCCGGGGATCGAGAGCTCTTGCGCTCTATGGAACACAGAGTGGCACTGTATTTTGCAGTCAGATTTATAGCAAATTGATGGAGAAGAAAATGGGACAGGTCTGCTCACCGTTCTTGCTCTACCTCTGATGTTGAACAGACCACTAACAATGACAAGCACCCAGGGGAGGGGGGAACGTACAGCCGAATTTGAGCAGCACTATTGAGTGCTTTTCATCTACAACAGAAAAATCAGGTTAAACCATGAATATCCATTTATTATTCACTTCCTTTTTTGTGTTTGCTTGATTCTGTAGAAATGTGTACATATGGTTAGAGGAGAGAGGCACTTGCAATCATTTTGGATACTGTGTGGTGGTGACCAGTGGATCCTGCTTTACCAGCAGAGACTCTCAACAAGAGAGCACCATCTTCAGTTGCAGAAGCCTCTAAAGTAGAACTTTGTGCTTTCACTAAATCAGCAACAACACATTTATTTAAAAGCAGCTCCATTTAGTAACTAGATTTCTAAGTCCTGTCTGTCCTGAATTTTGGATAGCTCATTCCCTGCTGCTTCAATATAGCTATGTCCGTCCTGCTGTAAGAAGTGGGGTACCCTGGCCGATGTAATGAACACAATTCAGAGCATCAGTACAATGTTAATGCCACTGTTGATCTCCCAGGAAGCATATGGAAGATGCTGAGGGGTACTTGGTCACAATTAAAGATATTGAGCTAAAAGGAAATGCTGTGGGTAGATGAATGTTTTCATATATGGGCCCCATTTGCAAAAAAATGAGTGATTAAACTCAATCCAGTCTCTCTATAGTACTTCGGTGGGTAAGTGAGAAGGGAAAAAGATGTTCTGGAGGTCTGTGATGGAAAACATGAACATTAACGCACAACACGAACTCCTCACGTTCTTTACAAGATGCAGATACCTGTAACAGACACCAGCTCTACTGGAGAAAGGCTTTAGGAAGTGTTGGTTAACTTTCTATTCATTTCCATATAGGACTGATGTCCAACATCTCCCTCCTCGGTGCGCTTTGATTCTGAAATGTGGTACTTGGCAAATGTTAAGTTTTGTGTCTTTTGTTGTTGGTTTTAGATTGACAAGTATGCTCAGCGGGATCTGAAGAAAGGGCTTCATTTATATGGGACAGACGGAAATATTGGCCTAACTAATGCATGGAGCATCATTCAAACAGATGTAAGTCTGAGCTTTTTTTTTAGTTCCTCTTTACCCTCTGTGTTCTGTAACAGCATGTTCTGGGTGTGAACCTAATTAAACCTCCAGATCCTAAGCCAATCTCTTCCTCCCACCCAGTCAGCACATTAGCAACTGAACGCTCTGCTTTTTGTAAAAAATGGTAATTTTTATTTATTTCTCTTTTGACCACGATAGCTTATTTCTGTTAAAAATTTATATTGTGTTGATGCCTAAATATCGTATAGTTCTGCGCTGCGTGGAGAGCGAAGGAGATGGTCAGGCAGGAAACAAGCAGCACGTTCTCTTCAAAGTCAAAGGGACAGCTTATGTTGGAATGAAGAGCAATAGCATAATAAGTAAAGAACCACTTCAACCCTTTTTCATTTCTGTCCTGTCTCCTTTCATTATAGTTGTTGGTTTCCACTAGTGTCGTCAAAATGGAAACCAGCCACGGTGTCTACAACTGCCTCCTGCAGTCAGTGCTTTTTTCCCAGCAGAATTCAGTCATCCTCCATCACAGATGGGCTGGGAATGCTTATTGCTATCTTGCCACTGCTGTTGCATCCTTCTGATTCTCTGACAGCGTTCTGCCAGTCTCATAAGGACTGGTGAACACTGTAGCTGGCTTCCTCCTTTTGTCCTTGTCTGGCTTGCTGAGGAAACGCCATCACTGACAGTTCAGGTTTATTAGCTCTGTCCTCCTCTTTTCATACTCAGTTCAGTCAGTTCTCTTGGGGGCAATCTTTCTGATTTGATTTTCTCTGATTCTTGAATGAGGAAGAGTGCTCCAACTTTTCCTCTGGTTTAGGAAGAAGCACTTGTACCACTTTGGCCTCGCTCAAAAAATCTTGCGTAGCTTTCTTGACCTCTCCTCCAGAGCTGCTAGCGTGGTACAGACAGGCAGGGCTCTGATGTCTTAAATCAGATAAAGATGATAACCTCTCCCAAAGCTTCCAAGGTTATATGAACTATTTGAGGTGATGGATGGGCTACCTACCACATTCTGATAGGATAAACCGGCTCATTTGCCCTTTATTTCCTCTGCTGCCCTTTGCGCTGAAATCCTGAACATCTTTCCGTCTGGTAGTGTCAAGATTCATATACTCTTCTGTACAATACAGGGTAATAGGAGCAGCAGGCTGCTAAAGTCTGAGAAATTAAAAATTCGGGGTCACTCACAGAACAAAAGAACTGGTTGGCCAAACTCCATGTGCGTGTTTGGGCCTGCGGGAGCTGTCTGCATTGAATGCAGTAAGTTGACAGCAACAGTACTGTGTGTGAAAGACAAACGGTTCAGGTCCAGCAAACAAGCTAATAAGCTTTCCAGTCCTGCATCCTAACAACTGCACGTGGAAAGTTCTTTCGGTTACCTTTAAAAGGCTTTGGCATCTTGCAGTATGGTTAATATTTTTCTCGTCCAATACTATGATCAAATATGGGAAGGCATCAATTACAAGAAAAATGTATTTTGTGGTGCTAGCCCATGAGTAAGCCGTGTGAAATATAACATTTTTAATATTATTGCTTATATCAAACAGTATTAGAAGTTTTACTCTTTTACACTAACTTAACTCTGCTTAGGAAAAATGTAGTAAAAATTACTAATACTATAGAATCACAGAATGTTTTGGGTGGGAAGGGACCCCTAGAGGTCACCCAGCCCAACCCCCCTGCAGGAGCAGGGACACCGCTAACCAGATCAGGTTGCTCACAGCCCCGTCCAACCTGGCCTTGAATGTTCCCAGGGATGGGGCCTCCACTACCCCTCTGGGCAACCCCTGCCAGGGTTTCACCACCCTCACTGTAAAGAATTTCTTCCTTAGATCCAGTCTAAAGCTAGCCTGGTTTAGTTTAAAACCATCACCCCTTGTCCTATCACAGCTGTCCCTACTAAAAAGATTTTCCCCGTCTTTAAGATGTTTGCAGTGAATATTAATCTGGTTTCAGTGACACCCCAAGAACTGTTAAAAGCATATAGCAAAGGTGGAGGAAAAAGTGGTGTTCGGAGGACTTACGGGATATAAACCCTATGCTTCTGGTCCCCTTTCTGTAAAATAGGTGTAACAGTACGTACTATGTGTAGCTCACCTAGGCAAAGTTTTTCAAGATGTTCGCAGGTTGGATTGCATTCAGAAAAGATGTATAAGAATAATGAGAATTCGGGAAATTTACACTATAGTGAGAAATTTTAAAACCTTTATATAAACAGGACAAGATGAGGTAGTGATGTGACTGCGGTCCTTAAAAAGAGAGCAGAAAGGGAAAAGGGTTTTGAAAGCAAAGGGCTCTGTAATTGATCCAAGAGCTAAAACTCAGGATACAAATATCTGATGGTAGGATGCCATTGTACTGCAGGGTGATGGATTCTTTTTCTCTGAAGTCAAGACAGGTTTTTTTGTCTAAAAGAAATGGTCTTGTTCCGTGACAAGTTTGGGTTTGAGACAGGACTCGATAGTCTGTGCTCTGCCTAGTGCTACAGATCACGCTCAGTTGTCTTAATGATTCCTTTGGCCTTGAAACCTATTACGGTTTAAAGTGTCTTATGAGTTTCAGACAAAACTAATGTTAGCTAGGCCTTAGGAGCCCGAAAGATAATGGGAAAGTGCCATCTCACAAGCCATGTGCAGCCATGCTACATCGCTCTCTTTTCTAACATGGCAGCTATGAAATTACCATGCGCTGTCTTGACAGTAGCATAGCGTTCAAGTCTCCGTGCTCCCTGTGCTGGGCACTGAGGAGAAAAGCAAAGAGCTCCCACAGATCCATTTTTACTGCTCTGCATAATTGGTTTTCACATGTATCTTTCAAAACTATTTTGGAATAGACTATTGCAGTGGTGCAGCGAAGGCAATCCCAGCATGGTTAATTATGTAAAACACTCTGCAGTTGAATAGCGGTATGTAAATGCCAAGTATTATTTTTTGTGTTCAGTAATAATCGTTAGCCCTTACATCCCTAATCAGTAGAGTGTAATCACTGATAGGAGGATTAGGGCAATACAGGGGACTTTCTGAAAGGAAAGTCCCAGCCCAGGCTTGCTGTTTGCATTCTGGCTCCTAAGAGGCAGCTCTCAAAAACCCCCACATTAATGCTAACCGCGTCACCATATAGGACAGTGTCTCAGCACTGACTTTACTAATGACACCAGTAGACATCAGTCATTGGTTGAGCTATGGGCCATGTCTGTACGTAGATGGAAAACAGCAGTCTCAGAAAAAAGCATGATATTAAAACACACGACAGTAACAGAAATCATGAGTCCTTCCCTCTTGTCCTCTCTGCGTTCACACTCCTTTCTTTGCAAAAGTGTTTTTCAGGGCTTGAGCAGAAGGGTGGCATCGTGGTTAAAGTAGTAGGCTCAGACACAAGGGATCTAAGGTCTGGCGTATTTCTTCATTTCTCCTGTTGTTAGCTTAGATGGAGACCATCCCCACCCCGAGTTCACTAAGTATGACTGTGTATGGCAACTTTTGCTTAAAGAAGGGGAAAAAAAGTTTTTCCAGAACCACACTGAGATGGCATTTGATTTCTGTGGGACTGGCCGATCACACGTCAGAGGGGAGTTTTGACTGGCAGTATGGATACCCAGTGCACACACAGTGACTTGTGAGTGGTCATTACTGTACTCCTCCTTCAAGTATGAAAGGCCTGAGCACCTTTTCTGGGGGGGCTTTGTTCTCTGAAGCCTTTGTGCCTTGAGAAATGGTTTTCCTCTTTTTAACAGAAGCATACAATTCCTAAGTAACTGGGCACAAGGGAAAAACAGGGTCTGTCAGGCCCATCTTTGAGGAGGAAGTTGCAGTTCTGGTCTGTGACCGATCTGTTCAGATTACGGATAAAGGAGTTGGGTTGAGCTGCAGACATGCAACACGTGTTGGAGGAAAAGCACTAGACTCATTTGGCAGTCACTATTCAGCCTCTAGGTCAGGGAGCTGTTTCAAATTAGAACATTTTATTGATTTCTTTTTAATACCTTCAGCTAACCAAACTCACAGCCTTTCTCAATAGCATTGAATTCAAACCTTAAAAGGATCAGAAACGCAAGCAGCTGACTTTTGTGTGTTGTGACTGAAGACTAAGAAAGCTTACAAAGTGATTTTAAACGTGACTTCGGTCATTCTAATAGTTTAGGATGTAAGTTACCCGGAACCACATTACACTCCTTGCCAACCAGGACTGGTTAAAGTTACAGGTGGAGATCATGAGGAAACGAGAAACGGGCATTAATTTTTAAAACATTGCTTCATCCCCAGCATCTTTGTGATCAATATTTGAATGCTTCTCCTTTTAACAAACCGGGGAGTAATTTGAGAGGCATGCAGAAAATGCATTAGCTTTACTAAAGCGGGGAAATTCAAGTCACTTTTCCTGCTCTGTGATGCCTTTCATGGCCATTTAGACCACTGTAACTGAGAACAACATTTGACCTGTCTCTCTCTACCCCAGTCATTGATTCTGTTAGATCAAACCGTACTTTAGGATTACTACTGAAGTAATCGAAACCACCCATTGAGCATGATTTTAGAATAAAGCTGTCGTATTCACCGCTTTTTACAGTGAGGGAGGAAAAAGGTGTATAAAAGGTACCCTACCCTGTCCCTAGTTCTCGGTCACATTCACAAAAGTGGAAACCCAGGAATTGCTGAAACCTGTCTGCAACGAGGACTGGGTGTCTGTTTATTTTCATGAAGCCTATCCCAGCCTGGCTGATTTTGCAGGAATTTGGCAAAGAAAATCAGGCCTACTTAGCCTTCAGTACTGGGATTGCCTGTAAATTAAATGTAAGAATCCAACTCTTTAGCATTTCTATTGCACCAAGATAAGAAACTTTGCGTCTAACATTAATTATGAGCCCTAGATACCCCATGCTAGGGCAGCGATTACTTGTTAACACAAAAATTAAGCTATTTGCAAGCAGCATTGCATTCCATAGATGCAGCAGAGAGACCTTGGTACTGCTTGGCTGGGAAAAGCACTGCTCAGCAGCATGACCTTCGACTGCATCGCTGTGTTGAGCAGCCCCTGTGTGCCCTGAGCTCTTGGGAACCGACGAGCCGCTTCAGAGCCCCACGGGTAGTCAATAGGGGAGTGATTTATGTCTCTTTAACAAGGGAAGGAAAAAATGTGTTTTGACATCTCGGGAGACAGGGCCTCCCACATGAAGCATGTGAAACAAACAGCAGCGTATTGTCAGTATTCCTGGAAAGGTTCCGCGGCGGAGGCTTAGATACTCAGAGGCGTTTGAAAAGCTTTTGCTTTTGCCAAACCGTGTACGGGTGGTCCCCAGAACTACCACCCGATTGTCACCTTATGCCGTAAGTACCCGCACTTGTTCCCGTGGGCAGGCACAACTGCAGCTGATCATGCATGCTCTTTCAGAGCTGCGAGCCCTAGAATCAAGGGACCTGAGGTGTCCAAGGCAAGGCCTCTTAAAGTTATTGCTATTCAAGACAGTAGCTGACATTTTTAACAGATTACCCCCTTTTAAAGTGTGTTAGTCTGGGTACCCCAAAGTAAGCACTATTAGCTTGTAAAAAACATAAGGGTATTGTTCTCTGTTGAAATTAGGAACAGAACTAATGAATTAGGCAACTGTCCTGGTTTCAGCTGGGGTAGAGTTAATTTTCTTCATACTAGCTGGCATAGTGCTGTGTTTTGGATTTAGTACTACAAGAATGTTGATAACACACTGATGTTTTTAGTTGTTGCCAAGTAGTGCTGAGACTACTCGAGGATTTTTTGAGCTTCTGCTCAGCCAGGTGCGTAACATGCTGGGAGGGAGCACAGCCAGGACAGCTGACCCAAACTGGCCAAAGAGCTATGCCATACCATAGAACGTCATGCTCGGGGGGAGTTAGTCGGTCGGAGAGGGGGAGAGTGATCGCTGCTCGGGACGGGGTGGGCATCGGTCGGCGGGTGGTGAGCAATTGCGTTGTGCATCATTCGTTTTGTATATTCTGTATATTCTCTTACCGTTCTCATTACTACTGTTCTTTTTCTCTTATTAAACTGTCTCTATCTCAGCCCACAGCTCTTCCCTTTTAACTTTTTCTTGCCGGGTTAAACCATGACAGCAACCTTGTCTAATTTTATCACTTAACTAGTGAAGGGACCAAGACAGGACTGTAAATGTGACCAAAAAAATGAATGTGGTTGTAGCAGGAATCAAGTCTGCGATTGCTTCGTGACAGTCAGGCAGCTGAACTTCCTGGCACTGGCAGAAGATCAGCTTTTGTGGGAGAACATGAAGGCTGGTATAACTGGCTACAGCGAACTGCTGGTGACAGAAATCATCCCTCGTGTGACCTGAGCTTTCTCCATCCCCCAAGCGTAGGACCGTCTCCAACTGTCCTTGCCCAGAAACCTTGTAAATTTTAAAAACAGAACATTGCTCTCAAATCTAAGAGGACTCTAAAAAATCCTCTTATTTTGCTCTTTGTACTCAATATTCCCCTTTCTTTTAATAGTCCCTTAAGTCCTTCAACAATTTGGCTACTTCCCGTTCAGCTTCATGCACACAGAGTAAATCAGTCACTTGTCACATGATCCAAAGTCACTCCCACACTCTCTCTTCTCTACTTGGGCCTCCATAATGAATTCTGTCAATTTACTTGAGCTCTCAGCTTATCCGTCTCTGTGATGTCTAGCTGGGCCCCTTTGCTGAATCTACACCGGTGACCTGTTCAGTCCCACTGCCGCTTGTTTCCATGTTCTTGCCTCTGTGACCGACTGCCACGGGTCAGTGCCTCTGCTCCCTAGAGATGCCCTTCACTGGAATTGGTCTGCACTGAACGCTGCTCGCTCACTTGCTCATGCACCCTCTGGTCTCTGTGGTGTTAGGACTCTTCTGCGTTCATCACCTCCTCTCCTTTAGGGTTGTGCACCATCCGCTGCTTAATTCCATTGCTCGTCCTTCCTTTGTCTTCCAAAGACTTGCTGTCTAGTCCAGTTATAGTTCCAGACATTATTTCTTCCAGTCCCAAGACTATTGATCCTCGTGCTATTTCATTCTTTTTTACCCTTGATCTTTTCTTAGCCCTTTCTCCCATGCTGGGACTGCCTTGTCTGCCAGCAGCGGCAGGCGAGTATCGACATTTAATCCTCTGCTCTTGTACAATGCCCAGAGGATCTGCGTGGGCAGGCAGTGGGTGTCCAACTGCAGCTTGTCTTTGCAACTGCGTCCTCTCCTATTTCCACCTTCTGGCTTACCAGCAAGTTTTACTCTTTGGATCCCCAACCCTGGATCATGGCCTTGCTCCTTCTGCCTCACAGGCTCCATAGGGAACGGCTGTCCGCAACCTGTTAGTGAGCCCTTAACTACAAAACCTGTACTTCATCTCCTTAGTCTGTCAGATTTTGACACCCTCAGCCATGCAATATTATGGGGACAAGGGGTCTAGTCCTGATTTATGCAAACTTGTGTTTGGCCAGAACATCACTCAAATATCTCAGCCCTTACTGTTGCGCTCTCTACATCACAGATGAGCCACATTTTCAAGGCTGGCTATTTACAAGCTGTCACTTCTCACTGTCTATCAAAGAGCTGCCTCTTGACTCGAAGGATGACAGCCTGCAAGACCTTCTTGTTAGCTTTCCAGATAAACCAGCTTTCCTCAAATGCATGCCATGTGTTCCATACTGCTCCTATCCGCTTTTGGGACCTGTTAAGCACGGAGCTCCTGTCTTGCATGCAGGAACATAGAGGAATAAAAGAAAGTCACAAACTTTTCTACTTTTGAGTCAGTTTGTAGAAAATGAAGCCTGTAAAATCACAAATCAAACAGTTGCAAGCTAAGGATTGATTCCTGCCATGGACCAAATCAGAATTGTGAGCAGAACCTTGGGGGGATAGATGTTAGTCCAGGAAAGACTTCTGACTTTTGCTTGGCAGAAGAAAAACAGTGCTGGGAGCACTGAAACGTGGACCGCTTGTGTGTGATGTGTGAGGCAACGCAGGACACCCCTGCCCTCTATTGGTCTTGAATGGCAGAGTCCCGGTGATGCAGACCTCTGCATGATTCTGAGCCTATCAGAAACAAGGGGAATGGTCTCTAGAGGGATGCAAAAAATACTGTACAGGCTTATATAAAATTACATTTAAAAAATTAGATCTTGGCAAGTCATTTGGGGGCTAAGTAGGTGGCTGGCATAGCCTTGAAAAAGTGTGAAGTACTGGCAATAGCAGAGTGCAGTTCTGCCGCCCAGTGTCGGCTTGTTTTACTCATTAGTGGTAAAGTGTCTCAATACCGACACATTCATACTTTTGAGTTAGCAGAGGAGTGGCAGATGGTGTGTACATCTACATGGTAATGAGTCTGAGCTTATTTTGTGTCACAGGAATATACCAGCTCCCAGAGAGGGAAGATGGTCGCAGAGCCACTCCCTGTACTGTTATGTACATTGCCTATACCTTTCATCCCGCTACCAAAGTCAAGTCAAACAAACCTTCTGCTTTAGCTCTAACACAGTCATCGTACACTGCCGTTGTACGCAGCCACTTAAAGCACCGCTATTTAGCAGCATCAGATGATGACATTGAGGAACTGCACCAAAGAGAAAGAGGAAGAAATACATCTCTTACTGACTGACAAAGACTTTCAAAGGTGATCGGTAATTAACAGCTTAGAGAGAAATTTGCCTCATTAACTTCAATCATGATTTCAGAAGTAGTGTGCCATAGAGATCCCAGTATCTTCATCTCCTGGGTACTGTATCTTAAATAATTTTCTTTCCCCGACAATAAGCTGCAAACGATTGTTATAATCCTGCTCAGTCACATCAACTCTTAACCTCAGTACCTGGCTGGGGTTGTCCTGGTCCAGCTTCTGCCGTGCCCTGCCGCTGCAAATAGCTGCCTTTGCTTCTTGTATCAACGTTAGCTACATACAAGACCATATTTAAACATCATAAAAGAGTGGGGGAAAGGGTCTATTTGGGTAAAGGCGAGGCAATACTGTATTTCTTTAAAATTTCAAGCCTCTGCTGGTGTAATCAAAATGCAGTGAATGTCCAACTCCAGGAGGCAGGAGACAGACTGAGCAGAAGTCAGTGACAGATCATACTTATGGTATCGTCTTGGTTCTTCTTTTTCTAGTTCAGATGCTGTGGAGTCTCCAACTACACTGACTGGTTTGAAGTGTACAATACAACCCAGGTGCCAGACTCGTGCTGCTTAGAGTTCAGTGAGAACTGTGGGCTCCATTCCCCAGGGACCTGGTGGAAAGCGGTGAGTAGCTCTCCAGCAGCAGCTCAGCAGCTGCCTTGCCACCCAGGTAAAGGGTGGGCAGCAAGTCATTTGCAGGTGGTAAGGCATGTTGGGCCCTCACTCATCTTTAATCGGGTGGAATCAGAAGGCTCATGGTGAGCTGTGCCTTTTGACCTCCAACGAAACCGCTAATTTAATTATTTTTATGAGCTGAAGGCTTTCCTTTCAATAGGCTCTAAGCTGTTGTTGCAAACAAGTGCCTTCCAACACTGATCAGGAGCACTGTCTGGCTAGAGCTAGCTAGGAAACGACGGGATCGTCATTTTTAATGTCCCACCTACTGGAGTGAGGTAGAGATAAAGGCAAATGGCTCATCCACGTGCATAGCACAAGCCCTGGAGCAGCAGCCATAGCTTATTGTGGCCAGGCCATCGTGAGGCAAGAGGCCTGTGTGAGCCTGGCGTGCTCTGCTCCTGCCAGGAACCCTAGTTCAGGGGCTTCCACTGCACTGTAGGAGAGTGGGAACTGTTCCAGCATGCCAGCAGCACTTTTTTTTTTTTTTTTTTGCAGTAAGTTTCTGTACTTTCCTGTAATCAAATTCAAAACTCCATGGGATAATTTCCCTACAATGTCCTCAGCAAGATCCTTCCAGAGCAGAGAGTCAGAGCCCAAATTCTTCTTGAAATTAGTTCAGCAATTCTTCATGCTAATTACAGGTAGTGCAATTACCCAGGAGGGGTGTGGAGTAAGGCCAGCTGATGAAGGGGCATTCTAAGGAATTTAGCTGGTTCTAATGGTTTGTGGAGACAATGAGTAAAGCTCTCTTGGCCACTTCCTAATGAGATATCATATCTGTGGATTGGCACTGGCAGAGGCTGAGCTCCAACCAAGCATGGCTCCCTTCTATCTCTCAAGAAGCACCAAGTCAAGTTTTGAATTTCAGGACTTAGAAGTTCTTCTGCTTTATTCAGGGTACTGAGAAGCTCAGTGCAGGTCAGCACCATGGCTTCTGGTGGACATGAATAGTTTTTCCTTGATAACATATGTGAAAGCCGTTAACTGAAAGATGAATGAGTCTTGGCCACGTACAGTTAGAGGGCACAATTTTTGTACAAGGTTGTCTTACAGCCATTATTTACACATTATTTAAAGAAAGGTTTCACTTGGGTCAATTCCACTCTCGCCAAAACTGGGCCAGGAACATGATGTTACAGCTACTGCAGAATTTAAAGCAGGAAGAAGGTAACGGAGGAGCACCCATACTGCAGTTTGAAATGATGGAAAATGGTATGGAATGGGCCCATGTGCAGCAGAAGTGGCTACTGAGCAGCTCTCTTTGGAATTTTTGGGTTTGATATATATATATATAAAATAATTGTTTTCCATGGAGAAAATGAAAGGCTCGTTCTGAAGCTCTAACTGCTTCTAGTTGGCTTTTAGAGGGCAAAGAGGACCCAAAGCCACTGCTTGTTTATTTTTAGTTACTGGCACAATTTATGTGGAGCAGTGCTCATGCAGCATTTTGCAGGTGTGCTTTTCTGTGTCATTACAATCAGTACTCCATGTTCAAGCTTCTACCCAGAAACACACGGTAGTTGTTCCAATGCTGAAATGCTAATCCAGGGTACCTAGCAGCTTAGTCTGACCTGGCTCTTTTCTGTCTGTATATTCCTAGGGCAGTAGAGCTGTGTGTTTACGGCTAATACAATATTCTGTTTTTTTTTTTTCCAGCCTTGCTATGAAACAGTGAAAATATGGCTCCAGGAAAACTTACTAGCAGTGGGGATCTTTGGACTGTGCACAGCTATGGTGCAGGTACAGTTTAATATCTATTTTCAAATCCTAATTAATCATAACTAATAAGTAACCACAGATACAGATATACTCTGCCCAAACCTATTTTAGTAATTCCATGATTTTGCATGATTTCTCTTTTATGTTTTTATTTAGTTGAAATACTATGTGCAAGGTACGGAACTAGGAATACTGCACACATTTTCTGTTTTATGAGGCACTGCAAAGAGCAGGCACTTTGCCAAGTGGCTTATCTAAGGCTTAGACTAGACTCAGTGGAGAGATAGGACCCTCCCTCCAAAGACAGAAGCCTAGTCAGGGTAGGGTGAATTGCTTTTTAGGGTACCTGTATTTGTCCAGTAATTCCCCAGAGAGAACTAGCCACTTACTCAGGCTAAATATCTAATTTCAGGATAGCCTAAAGGTAGCTTAAGTCTTTAACCCCACCCTCAGTCCTAGGATAAATTACAAGTTGGGATGCTGTTACTGGTACTCAACCTTGCCAATAAAACCATGCTCCTTTTGCATTCATTGCAGGGAAACTAGGTAAGAAAGACTGGCATAGTAGACTTGCCTGTCTCATTTTTGATCTGCAGTTATTTCCAGCATAACTTGGGTCAGAGAAGAATCAGTCATCAGTGTAGTACCTTGTCTCTTAGGTACCTGTGTCTTTGATCCAGCGTGGCTGTGGCCATAGTGCAGCCCCAATGGCACAAACCTCAGCCTGAGGATACACAGGGGAGAGCCGTGCTGGAGCCCAGGCTGTTTCAGCTCTGTCAGCCCTCCATGTACAGCCTAAAGTCCCATTCCTGAATGCAGTGAAGATGGAGCTTTAGTTTCCAGCTCCACCTCTCTCATGCTCAACCTATAAGCAGACAGGATGGCATCGCTAAGCTAATTAATACCATGTAACTTCAGATTAACCCATGGGGTTTTTCATTTTGCAAGGTACACACCACTAGCAGCAGCAAGAGAGAGCCTGGGATCAGAATTCCACTCCTATTCCCACTCATGTCAGATTAGGCAGAACAGCATGCCATGGTTTTTGTTTTCCAGAGTAGTGAGCAGATATGCTTAGGAACAAAGATAAGCACAACATCATATGGCAGAGGGAAAATGTAATACTGTGGTTAATATATTACCATATTTTAAAAAGCAGCTTTTGAGCATTTTGAACAGCATTTTGGAAGTCTTTAAAAGACACATTAAAAATGCAGCAGCCCATAAGCGTCCTCCTCATAGACCTTGATTATATTTAGGAGAATACTGTCTTTCTGACAGAAAGAAATTACTAGTTTGCATGGGAGAAAACACTTCAGACAATTTAAAAATGCTAATTAGTATTGCTAGTATATGCTGTGGAATACAAACACCTCAGACCACAGAAGACTTTTAGTTTGTCTTCCAGCTGCACTATGTGGTTGAATCTAATTGATGACAAAAGTTTTGATGCTCTGTAACCTGAAATCAATTGGGCTCCCTCTGTTGTTGCTGTCACAGCGTTGTTCTGGCCCTAAGCATGTGACAGCTTTGGTTTTCCATGTTAACCATACAGTTAGAATCATACAGTGACACAGCTTGAAGGACGCACAGCACACGTGGCAGGAGAATCTTCTTCAGTCCTCGGAATTATAAAACAAATTCAGCCACTGAGGCTTTTTACTCAGCTGCCCCCGAAGGCGTTCCTTTGCTAGGAAAGGGAAGGCAACGTGCAGGGGACGTTCCAAGAGCCGTGTGCTCACTATAAAACAGCACACTAAAGCCTGACAGTCTTACTTCACTGGAAGAATGGGAAGTGAAGACAGTAACAGCTTTATAACCATTTTTTTCTTTATAGCCTATGTTATTCGTGCACTCTTTCAAAGTACTTATTAACAAGGACTACTATTTATGTAAAGACTAAATTTGAAGTGGTCAAATTAAGTGTTTAAAATAGAACTCATACAAAAAGTTTCTAGCAGGCAAACCTTTATTTCCATGATAATTTTTACAGTGGTGTTGCAAAGGAATAGTAACAACCATTTCGTACGTTCCTGTAAGTACTTCAATTGGAAAGAAAAAAACCCTCTTCCCTATCCCTTTTTCTGATGAAGTAATCTACTAGAGGCAGCCCAGCAGTTGGGCTGGGAGAAGAACCACCACCTCCCTGCTGCTTCTCTTGCATAGGCTGAGTAGAGAGAGACGTACGCTGTTGATGAGGCATTGATGGTTGTGATTAATGCATGGAAAGGCTCCAGTGATGCCCCCACAGGGACCTGCGCACACACACGCTTGGAAAAGTAAAGTACCGTAAAGTAAACCACAGCATCCTTTGGGTCAGGGATGAGCCTGATTGCCTTTCAAAGCAATAGCTGCAGAGATAACCACGCAGCCCCACAGCTGTGGGTTGCTACTGTAAAATATTGTCGAGCAAAACACAGCCAAACATTTCTTTTCAATTTACCTCTTCCCCGTATCTGGTGGCTGCTTTTTGCGGAGAAATGAACTCTCCCGTGCTCTCATTGTTGATTCTGTAAAACAGCGATACAGATAAGGACAAAAGGCAGACAGAAACTAGGAGCAGAACAAGGACTTGAACAGGCAGGAAAAGCAGTATGTGATGGGCCTTCCTGTGTGTGAACAAAACCAGCATAACCACGCTTTTCTCTCTTTCTTTGTTTTGATAAATAGGGGGTTTTTTACTTACTGAAAAACGATTTTTTTTTTTCCTCTTAGATTCTCGGACTCACCTTCGCAATGACCATGTATTGTCAGGTAGTCAAGGCAGACACCTACTGTGCATAGATACCATTCCCAATCTTTCTGCTCCTCCTCCAAAGGACACAGGAGAAATCTCCTTCATGCTCATTCATCTGACCTTCCCCCCTGCCCCTTTGTACTATAAACTGTGTATAATGCTCTCTTTCTGAAGATTTTGTGAATCGCCCCACTTTACTGAAGGAGGAAGAAAAGAAAAAGTCAGTACTTGAACTGGCACAGGTAAGAAGCAGCCTTGTCTTTAAACAGAAGAAAGCCTCCAAAGAGCAATGGTTCCTTTTCTATGGCCTGCGGCAAAGGCGGCTGCTTACGAGGGGCTGATCTGCAAACCAATGTTAGGAAAAGATTGCACTGAGGCAACCTCTGCGAATCCTGGCAGGTTGCCTTCCCTGCATTTCATGGTCTGGAAGAGAGGGCGTAGAAAATGGGTCTTCTTCAGCATGGAAAGAAAGTACAGAGTAGCTAGCACTGAATGCGGTTGTACTGTTACTACAGTTTGCACACAGCTAAAATGTCAAGATCAAGCAGCCCTGCCTCCAAGTGTCTCAAGATGATTTTGTAGCCAGGAGAGGATCATCTTCAGAAATATGTTACTTTAAAGGAGTATTTTTAATCTTATGCGCTGCAAAGTCAGGCTTTTAATCAGAATCTGTACAGCGAGATCTGGCTGTTAAGGGAAAACAATATTGGACATTGTCTCACTTATTAATTGCCAGTGGCATATAGATGGTTGACTGTATATGTAATACAGATTACATTCATATACACATACTGTTCTGAAAGGAGGTGAAAATACCCAGCATCTAACCTCGGAAAGAGGGAACCTTTCTATCCCATTTTACATTCCATCTGAAATAAGAGTATTATTTCTTGTAGGAGGCACTATCACTTATACCTCTGGGAAACAAGTAATTACTTTCAGCTGTATTTTCATTTCAGTAAACAACTTGTGAGTGGGCTCTCTCTGTCATTCTACTATGGTTTTATTTTTTATCATCCCTGCTTAAAGTTAGTCTGCCAAAAAATATCACTCATTTCCACACTTGAAGATCCATACAAAGCTGTCAGCTGTTCCTTCCCCGACTGCCACCATTTCATTAATTTACTTTGGGATATCATCATCTGCAGGTATGACAGAGTTTGCCTTGCTGAGGAAAAGTCTTTTGCACATTGTTCATTTTTCTGAGAGTTATTAAGACTCCAGATGTTTTTATGCTTAGCTTTTTTTTTTCCCCCAGCTGCATGCTTACACCAGCCAAGACACATCAGTCTTTCTTAGAACTGGACTCACCTCTTAGTTCTGTTTTTCAGCCCCATCTCCCTCTGCCTGGCTGTTGGCTAGAATATGCCCCACACTTTCTGGAATTTGCAGAAATCAAAATCATAACTTTCCTTAGCCAGAAAACGACCACCAGTTGTCCAGTTCCCCCACGCTACACTGGAACTGAGGTAATTCGTGTAGTACGCTTCCGTGCACACCTTCTAGTGATGAGGTTCAAACTATGGTTCAAACAAACAATTCCCCATTGGCAAGCAGCCCCAGGTAATGCACATGTGACAGTGAGAAGCTGAAGCACCCCAGGGAAAGGACACAGCAGGGAAGAGGCCAACAGAGCCATGCAGCCAGCCTTTGAGGACCTCTCAGCCACC